TTGGCATTTCAGAATCTGTCTGCCAAGGTATTAGACAACTTGATTAGCAGTTGACGTTGTGATCGTAAACATGTCTCGCAAATGACGTTGCGTAATGGAAGGACAAGGTTCACTTTAGGCTATAAAATATTCAAAATGGTTATAATTTGGTTCTTAAATCGATCTATTTCAAAAACCTTACTTCTTTGTTGAATAAATCTCTTCATAAGAGTACATTCTTGGCTTCAAAATCAGTACATTTTGAATATAATTATTATCAAAATACGAGGATTTTGTGTATTTTTCGGACCTAAAGGCTTGAGGAAACCCTTGGCCGCAACCCAGGATCCAATATGTTCTGTAACCAAAAGTTGCCAATAATAAAAGTTGTGTTAAGGTATTTAATGTCATCATTGGCAATTTTTGGTTACAGAAAACTTCCTGAATCATGGGATCAATTATGATCTGGTAAAAAAAATTATCAAAATGTGTCTTGTTGCCGAGTTTATTTCTTGCTTTGTCGCGCCAAAAGCATCTTGACGTTCCATATTTGTGACGTTGCAAAAGTTGTGCCTCTCTGTAGACCAGCGCTTTCCCGCCGTCCATAATTTTTCCCGCGTCAATTTAGCCGTAATTAGGAAAAGCGATGTAAAAGCAATTTTATAAAAATAATTGCTCTAAGATTGTTATAAACGATGATTTTAATACAACATTATTCAAAAATATAACTTTAAACCTTGAAATATATTTTTTTTTTATATTTCTTATCTTTACAAAAATGAAGATAGTATACTCATTGCTAATAACTTTATTAGGGCTTTTGTTTTTATCTTTGTCAAGTGAAATGCATAACTGATTCTTAACCACCTCTAAAATACTAGTACCAGAATATATTTATCCTTTTTATCTGATTAACTAAGTAAACCTTGTTATAATTGATAAATACAGTAAAGAATCTCTTAAATAATTATATAAACAAAACAACGACACCCAATAAAAATAAAAACAAAAACAATGCATGCACAAATAAAAATGAATAAAACTCCGAGCAGCCGATTCTATGAACTACTTCGTCTTGTAAAGTATTATATGTGTCAGATTAATTTTTCGTTCCTAACCTTGTTTCGGTAGGCGAGGAAAGCATTTTTATAAACGTTATTATCCATATTCCTTTTATTTATTTCTTAATCATGGTTATTATTATTATGGTGACCACTTAATGTTCAAAATTTTAGAGGAATGTTTGAAATAGGAATTTGAAAAACAGAAAAACAGAAAAACGAGGGAAGAAATTCTAAAATTAATTTCGATTGTCTACATGTGAATCTAAATTTTGAAAAGTAAACATTGTCTTGAGAATTATTTGAAAAAGTTTCCTTTCATTCATTTTATGTAAAATGACGGTTGCCATGGATGACAAAGTACCAATATCATATATAACTGTTTTTCCAGGTTTCTATTATAAAAAGTAGCAACTTTAGAAAATGTAAGTAACGTCGCGTAAGGAGGGGGAAATACTACAGTTTCCCTTTACCGAAGATAACAAGTATTACCAATATCAGACTGCCGTTATATTGCAAAGCTTTTGACAAGTAGATTTGATTTTTATCACCAAAAATACAAACTATGAGAGTGTGGACAGGCGGTCCCTACTTCCCACTTCCCTACCCCCAACTCCCATTTCCCTCACCCGCTAATCCCAATTCCATCCCTTTACTCCCACTTCCCTCGGCCCTTATTTCTAGACGAAAATCTGTCAATGTTTTGTACTTAAGAATATCCCTAATTTTAACCCCCCCTCTTCTCCCGGTTTCCGCCCCATGACTCCCGCTTCCCTCCCTCTTGAATCCCGTTTCCCGCACCCTCATTCTCATGTTGCCCTTCCCCTGTCCACCCCCCAACTATTTAGACCAATACTGTGTTGAGATAAGTGCTGAGTGATTACGATAGGTCAAAATGATGGGTACTGACATAAAACCATATCCTAGGAATCCAATATTTGCTTTATTTGTTGCTATCATTGATTTACGTGAAAGCAGTACAATTCAAGTCGAGACAAATATGTTTTACTGAAATATTTGCCTTTTTGGGTGTGTAATGCCCTAAACTATCACTTGGATATTTACCCAAGACAAAATCTATCAAAGTTGAAAACTGTCTGGGTTAGTTTGTGAAGTAGGTCAAAATTAAGGGAAATTAGAAGAAGCATTTTCAGTGTTCAAGGTGTCCATCTAAGTAAAAGATAATCCAGTTGAGGCTAAATTTAGATATAATCTAAATCCTCCTATGTAAAGAATCGTTTACATTCTTTTCGGTTGATACCAAGTACTTACCATGGAGGAAATCCTGAATAATCATAGGTCTGTTCTATGTTCCTTTGGAATGTCAACCAAAGATGAAGAACTTGATCTTCCTTTACTATATTGGATAATTTAAGTACAAAAGTGTCCTTACAAACGTGCTATGCTGGTCTTTCAAGTGCTCTAAGAAACATCTTTCTGGATTATTAATACCAATTGTATCAGCAATCAGAGATGGGCTTCAAAGTTATTGTGAAACAATCTAAGTCTTTTTCCTCTTGCAATATTATTACACTTTTTGATTTGTTTTACCCTTTACAAAAGAATTCCCCATTCCAAATTAAAATTGGAAGTGTTGGTGCTGCTTTGTTTCATAAAAAAATAATGGCCAACGTAGAAACCAGTATCTTGTTTTACGAAGGGATAAATCGTACTTTGTAAAAAAACAATCTGATTCAAAAAATACAATTTTTTGCAACTGATATTAATTGTCAAGATGCTTGATTGCTTGATTGACAACATATTTGTTATGTTTGAATGACGTATTTTTCAACAAATGATAGGCATTCCAATGGGAATCAACTGGGCACCTCTTCTTGCCGACTTGTTCCTTTATTGATATACGACTGATTCCAAACAGGAGCTTCTTAGGGAGAATGAAAAGAAGCTAGCATTATCATTTAACTTCACGTTCCGCTTTATAGATGATGTCCTATCACTAAATAATTCAAAGTTTGGTGACTATGTTGAACGCATCTATCCCATTGAATCGGTTTTTGAAGGGGTTCGAGTTGCTTAGTCTTTATTTTTCGATTTTTTTTTTGTGAACCATTGTTTGCTGTTTCGTTGGTTTTCATTTTTTGCCATGGCATTGTCATTTTGTATTCGACTTATGAGTTTGAATATTCCTTTGGCATTTTCGCCTTTCTTTTTATGCAGCAAACATTACATTAGTGCTTCCTTTTATAGTTTCTATCTATCTTTTATTATATTCAACATATTTAATGTCCATTTACTACTTTTTTAAAAGACTATCATTGGAAATGATTATCGAAAGGGACATAGTTTAGCTTTTTTATAGATGAATAAAGACAGAAAAGCTGTGCTGTTTGTATATTTAATGTCTGAATTGTCAAATATCTTTGTCTTTATCATCTCAAGAGAGAGTAGTATTATTGATTTATAACAAGCTCTGAATTTTGGAACAAAATATGGAATGTACAAAAGTATTGAATGGAGATTACAATGAAAAATCTGGATGCTTATGTTGCAAATTTTAGACAAAATGAATACAAATTGATTGAAACAGTAATTTTTACCTGTAAAAATAGTACTTATTTTATAAGATAAGAAATAATCGGATACAGGCTATTTATATAAAAATAAATTCATTTCATAGAATGAGACCTAAAATAAATGTCAGCTTCCCAGTCAAAATGTCCCTGTTTTAAAGTTATTTTTTCCAAATGTGATGTGTCGCACGGGGTGGCAAATTTATCTTCTCACGGAGGTGAGGCATGCATCAAACATGTTACCTTTTGCAGTTATTTCGCCTCAGCCTTTTTCGTAGTCGCCCATAATCCGTCCACATTTTTTAAATAATTTTCATAACGCTCTTTACCAGTTCTAAACAAATTTGGTATACATTAAGTATGGAAGTCTCCTTCGACTGGACGAAAAAAACATAGCAGAAGAAATTCTTTGATTCTGATTGGCTAATTTTGAAAAAGTCTTCTCTACTTAAACTATACTTAGCGATTTGATATGAAACTTAAATAGCAAACGATTAGCGATTGAAAATTTTGAGACCCACCTCCAACTAGTTCCTTTTGAAATCTTACAGAACATCACAGTTTCATTATTTTGATCGAGTGGCAAACATGACAGAATTGGTAACAGATTTTCACCATGAATGCTCCTTTATAAGTCACATTTTTCAACTTCTTGTTTGAAAGCACGAGTGTCATGGTATCATTTTGATCAGATTTTATTATTTTTGTGAAATTCTTAATTTCAGTAAAAATTAGAAAAGTTCTAAGTTTAAAGCAAATTATTTTTAGTTCAATATTTTATTGCAATTTTGGACAGACTTTTTAATAGCTTTAGTTTGGTTTTCACACAAACATATTTTCTTTTAGTAAGCCTTATTTGTTGTATATAGATTACGTAAGAAGTTATCGGACAATGGTCAGAATGTGTTGACAGATATGATTTTTAAAGTGAAGCCGACATGTAATAAGATGTATTTCGGATTATTTCTATTGTTAATGTCCGGCTCAAATACGGTATAGAGTAAACATTGGTAGCAAGATTACATAAGTAATTAAGATATTTTTTAGTCATACACGTCACCTATGACCCCACCTATTTTCTGTCAATTAGACTAAAGTTGTCATGGTTTTTGATTAAATGTTAATTTTGATTGGACAACCTGAAACAGTCCCCAAATTCGATTCTAAAAAGTTAATTCCAAAAAGCGTCACTTTTACATGCGCTCTTTGGAAATAAAGACATAAAACTATTTCAAGTTTTATTGAATATTGTTTCAGGTAAGCAAAGTTAATTTAATTTTGTTAAATATGATTTAAAGCATTCAGTTTAAAGGTTTTCATTACCTAAAAGTAACTTCTGATAAAGTTATTAATTTGCTAATGCGTTATTCTTTTTGAAGAGAAATAGAATTTAATTTTCCTTTTTGTAAAATCTTCATATTTAGCATTTTCATAGTTATTTTATTTAATAAGAGTTTTCATCTTTTATTATCTTATAAAGAAGTTAATTATAAAGATATTTTCTTTATGCTATAATTGTAAATAGTTGTAAATTATGTTTTTAATAAGAAAAGTCTTTGTTTCTGATCGGAAAATTGGTATACTTATTTTATCTGTTTTTATAGTTATTTATAACATCCGCCTGTTTTGTCGCACTGACAAGAAATAATAATTCACCTTAAAGTTACTATTGCATTGAAGTTATAATGTTTCCAATGGTAAGGTCTTATTATTCAAAAGCCCTTTTAGGCATGATTTCTTGATATGCAATTTATTTGACATGTAATTGTCAGCAAACACATGGTTTGTTATTTTTCTATAAATAACACGTTATTTAGTAAACTTAGTTTTAGCAAGTATACATGTAAGGCATATATTCCATAGCTAGTTCCCCACAACAAAGTATTATATATTTTTCATTGCATAACATGATTTCATGATAGAAAGTTTCTATTCTACAATTGTTCCCCCCTTTTTATTGTGTAAAGAGTTATCCCCCTTAACAGATTAAACAAGAGTTATCCCCCCTTAACAGAGAAATGGTTAGATAAGTAACCTCATTGTTTGAATTGGAGTTTCATAAGAAAGATGTTTATATTATTCCTTTATTTAATTCTCAGTATTTAGAATAAAGTTTATCCAAATACCTTAAAATGCTCTACCATGTTTATATTTGAATGTTTAGAATATTTATGCAAAAGACATGAGATGTTGCTCATACATTGAGTATTGCGATACACATTATGTTCATGTTTCAGAATATTTATGAAATATTTAATTATGATAGGTCTATTGCATTATCTATTGGCATTATACTTGCATTATTATATTGATTTATACTTATGAATATTGTTTGTCATTTTATATTATAATTGCTATTATAATTAGACTTTTACATGCGCTCTTTGGAAATAAAGACATAAAACTATTTCAAGTTTTATTGAATATTGTTTCAGGCCTTGGCTCCAGACATCACAAGTCGTCAAGGTATAGACCCCGTTGGTATAAGACCAATTGCAAGCAAACACACAGAAACTAAAAATCTGACAACTAACTGGCGGAGACCCTAAAAATCTGACAACTGGCGGAGACCCTTTAGATCAAGAATACGGTACCTGATTAATGACAGAGGACAAATTGATCCCTTAAAGTTACAACAATTGATGGTATTGGTTGGATAATTAAAAGAAAAACAAGAAATATGATCTACACAGCAACTCACCAGACAACAAATTCGTTCAGAGAAGCAGAATCAAGAATGGAGTTCCTAGTCAAAGTCAAACGAAGAATGGTTAATCATTGCGGGAAAACCAAAGACGTGGTGTATGAATAAAACCTCAACAACACACAGTCAGAAGTTCCTGAGAAGCTGTACATAGGAAAGAAAGTTTCAATTCAAGATAAGTTGAACAATGGTTGACAAATACATAACTATAATACAGATACACGCAATTCCCCCCGAAAACAGCAAAGCAAAGCAAGAAACAGATTTATAGTGCGGTGATAGCATGCAGAATTCGTTACCCATATTTTTCAAGTTAAAGATTCATACTCATTTACATTGACATTTATACTCAAATTCAGTAAATTCAATATTATTGTCGTTTGTTTAGAAATATTTGCCACTGGACGTTACGCAACCAACAATCAATCAATCATTTGATGAGAAACATGTATAAGTTGTTTTAAATATATGTATGCATATTCTGCTAAGAAAAGTATTCATAATCATGATAATTGTTCTTTAGAGAAAATTACTAATTTTTACAAATTAATACTCATTTTATATGTTAACGCTCATGTATTTAAGTTTTACACATGTATGTAAGTACTTATATTTTTGGTTCGTATTCATAAGTGTATGAATGGTTCTCACAAGTTAGTATTAATCAACGAAAATTTGACAAGCTCAGTATGTGTTGTAAAAGTTTATCAGTAGAAAAATAATTTTTGCTGCTATGACACATTGACGTCAAATTCTTGCTGTTAAATACAGAGATTGTAGAATCAGGTGTACTCAATAAGTGCTCAGTATTGAATAAGTACTGATATTTTTTAAGGTCTGTACTTATTGCAATTCATTTAAAAAATGGAGAAATCAGTAACTCAGTGATTCATATAGAATTGATCGGTAAAAAGTTTACTGCTATATGGTTCAGATGTTGATGTTATGTTCTTGCATTTTGCTCGCAAAATTATCTGCTCAGACCGCACTTATAACACAAGTACTCATATGCTTATGGTAGTACTCAAATTTTTCAGACTATAGTACAAGTCTATCATACACACCAAATATCTTGAAACACAACTGACAAAAATCAATGTTATGAAAACGTCAGGAAATATTACTAAAGCTAATCACTATTTCATTACACAGTTTTGGATTTTCTTTTTTTTTCACAAGGTGTTTTCAAGTCATTTTATTAACAGTAATATTGGCCACCTGTTAATATTCAGTGCTAGAAATGTATGATTGCAACATTCATTTCAAACGACTTGCATTTCAACTTTGTGTTTAAAATTTTTTTTTTTTATTATTTTTACATTTTCGTATACAAATTTGTGGTTAGTCAGTATATTTCAGCGTCCATAATTTGATATTTATATCGTGTTTTCACAGTTGGTTCAGTGTTGATATGTGTACATCGTTTAGTCAAAATGAGCTTCCAAATCATGATCAAGAGTAAAACATTTTCATGTTCATTTTCCGTATTGAAACACAAAATTATTGGAAAAAAAAAAGTTGTTCACAATACATACTTTTCTGATATATATATCTTAGGTACACAAAATGTTATTCATAACTTAACATTATCATCAAAGAATTCATGCTTTACTATATTTTTTCCACATAATAGTTTGCAGACATCTATAGTTAAAAACTTTTTGTAATCTTTATACTAGAATGTTTTTTTTTACTGCAGTAAAGCAATGAGGACAAAACAATATTTAGTGTTCAGGGCTACTGACTGGCTGTTAGTTATGTTGATGTGTTTGTAGATACTTGTATATATGTGTATGCATTTGTAGTTAAATTATATTACTAAGCTTACAACTCCTGCCAATTATTATTATAAACAAGATCTAGAAGGTTCAAGATTTCGGGACGAAATCAGTTGAAGTAGAGGGGAGTTGTCATGGTATCATTTTGATCAGATTTTATTATTTTTGTGAAATTCTTAATTTCAGTAAAAATTAGAAAAGTTCTAAGTTTAAAGCAAATTATTTTTAGTTCAATATTTTATTGCAATTTTGGACAGACATTTTAATAGCTTTAGTTTGGTTTTCACACAAACATATTTCCTTTTAGTAAGCCTTATTTGTTGTATATATCTTACGTAAGAAGTTATCGGACAATGGTCAGAATGTGTTGACAGATATGATTTTTAAAGTGAAGCCGACATGTAATAAGATGTATTTCGGATTATTTCTATTGTTAATGTCCGGCTCAAATACGGTATAGAGTAAACATTGATAGCAAGATTACATAAGTAATTAAGATATTTTTTAGTCATACACGTCACCTATGACCCCACCTATTTTCTGTCAATTAGACTAAAGTTGTCATGGTTTTTGATTAAATGTTAATTTTGATTGGACAACCTGAAACATTCCCCAAATTCGAATCAAAAAAGTTAATTCCAGAAAGCGTCACTTTTACATGCGCTCTTTGGAAATAAAGACATAAAACTATTTCAAGTTTTATTGAATATTGTTTCAGGTAAGCAAAGTTAATTTAATTTTGTTAAATATGATTTAAAGCATTCAGTTTAAAGGTTTTCATTACCTAAAAGTAACTTCTGATAAAGTTATTAATTTGCTAATGCGTTATTCTTTTTGAAGAGAAATAGAATTTAATTTTCCTTTTTGTAAAATCTTCATGTTTAGCATTTTCATAGTTATTTTATTTAATAAGAGTTTTCATCTTTTATTATCTTATAAAGAAGTTAATTAAAAAGATATTTTCTTTATGCTATAATTGTAAATAGTTGTAAATTATGTTCTTTATAAGAAAAGTCTTTGTTTCTGATCGGAAAATTGGTATACTTATTTTATCTGTTTTTATAGTTATTTATAACATCCGCCTGTTTTGTCGCACTGACAAGAAATAATAATTCACCTTAAAGTTACTATTGCATTGAAGTTATAATGTTTCCAATGGTAAGGTCTTATTATTCAAAAGCCTTTTTAGGCATGATTTCTTGATGTGCAATTTATTTGACATGTTATTGTCAGCAAACACATGGTTTGTTATTTTTCTATAAATAACACGTTATTTAGTAAACTTATTTTTTAGCAAGTATACATGTAAGGCATATATTCCATAGCTAGTTCCCCACAACAAAGTATTATATATTTTTCATTGCATAACATGATTTCATGATAGAAAGTTTCTATTCTACAATTGTTCCCCCCTTTTTATTGTGTAAAGAGTTATCCCCCTTAACAGATTAAACAAGAGTTATCCCCCTTAACAGAGAAATGGTTAGATAAGTAACCTCATTGTTTGAATTGGAGTTTCATAAGAAAGATGTTTATATTATTCCTTTATTTAATTCTCAGTATTTAGAATAAAGTTTATCCAAATACCTTAAAATGCTCTACCATGTTTATATTTGAATGTTTAGAATATTTATGCAAAAGACATGAGATGTTGCTCATACATTAAGTATTGCGATACACATTATGTTCATGTTTCAGAATATTTATGAAATATTTATTTATGATAGGTCTATTGCATTATCTATTGGCATTATACTTGCATTATTATATTGATTTATACTTATGAATATTGTTTGTCATTTTATATTATAATTGCTATTATAATTAGACTTTTACATGCGCTCTTTGGAAATAAAGACATAAAACTATTTCAAGTTTTATTGAATATTGTTTCAGGCCTTGGCTCCAGACATCACAAGTCGTCAAGGTATAGACCCCGTTGGTATAAGACCAATTCACAGCAAACACACAGAAACTTAAAATCTGACAACTAACTGGCGGAGACCCTAAAAATCTGACAACTGGCGGAGACCCTTTAGATCAAGAATACGGTACCTGATTAATGACAGAGGACAAATTGATCCCTTAAAGTTACAACAATAATGGTATTGGTTGGAAAATTAAAAGAAAAACAAGAAATATGATCTACACAGCAACTCACCAGACAACAAATTCGTTCAGAGAAGCAGAATCAAGAATGGAGTTTCTAGTCAAAGTCAAACGAAGAATGGTTAATCATTGCGGGAAAACCAAAGACGTGGTGTATGAATAAAACCTCAACAACACACAGTCAGAAGTTCCTGAGACGCTGTACATAGGAAAGAAAGTTTCAATTCAAGATAAGTTGAACAATGGTTGACAAATACATAACTATAATACAGAAACACGCAATTCCCCCCGAAAACAGCAAAGCAAAGCAAGAAACAGATTTATAGTGCGGTGATAGCATGCAGAATTCGTTACCCATATTTTTCAAGTTAAAGATTCATACTCATTTACATTGACATTTATACTCAAATTCAGTAAATTCAATATTATTGTCGTTTGTTTAGAAATATTTGCCACTGGACGTTACGCAACCAACAATCAATCAATCATTTGATGAGAAACATATATAAGTTGTTTTAAATATATGTATGCATATTCTGCTAAGAAAAGTATTCATAATCATGATAATTGTTCTTTAGAGAAAATTACTAATTTTTACAAATTAATACTCATTTTATATGTTAACGCTCATGTATTTAAGTTTTACACATGTATGTAAGTACTTATATTTTTGGTTCGTACTCATAAGTGTATGAATGGTTCTCACAAGTTAGTATTAATCAAAGAAAATTTGACAAGCTCAGTATGTGTTGTAAAAGTTTATCAGTAGAAAAATAATTTTTGCTGCTATAACACATTGACGTCAAATTCTTGCTGTTAAATACAGAGATTGTAGAATCAGGTGTACTCAATAAGTGCTCAGTATTGAATAAGTACTGATATTTTTTAAGGTCTGTACTTATTGCAATTCATTTAAAAAATGGAGAAATCAGTAACTCAGTGATTCATATAGAATTGATCGGTAAAAAGTTTACTGCTATATGGTTCAGATGTTGATGTTATGTTCTTGCATTTTGCTCGCAGAATTATCTGCTCAGACCGCACTTATAACACAAGTACTCATATGCTTATGGTAGTACTCAAATTTTTCAGACTATGGTACAAGTCTATCATACACATCAAATATCTTGAAACACAACTGACAAAAATCAATGTTATGAAAACGTCAGGAAATATTACTAAAGCTAATCACTATTTCATTACACAGTTTTGGATTTTCTTTTTTTTTCACAAGGTGTTTTCAAGTCATTTTATTAACAGTAATATTGGCCACCTGTTAATATTCAGTGCTAGAAATGTATGATTGCAACATTCATTTCAAACGACTTGCATTTCAACTTTGTGTTTAAAATTTATTTTTTTTATTATTTTTACATTTTCGTATACAAATTTGTGGTTAGTCAGTATATTTCAGCGTCCATAATTTGATATTTATATCGTGCTTTCACAGTTGGTTCAGTGTTGATATGTGTACATCGTTTAGTCAAAATGAGCTTCCAAATCATGATCAAGAGTAAAACATTTTCATGTTCATTTTCCGTATTGAAACACAAAATTATTGGAAAAAAAAAGTTGTTCACATTACATACTTTTCTGATATATATATCTTAGGTACACAAAATGTTATTCATAACTTAACATTATCATCAAAGAATTCATGCTTTACTATATTTTTTCCACATAATAGTTTGCAGACATCTATAGTTAAAAACTTTTTGTAATCTTTATACTAGAATGTTTTTTTTTACTGCAGTAAAGCAATGAGGACAAAACAATATTTAGTGTTCAGGGCTACTGACTGGCTGTTAGTTCTGTTGATGTGTTTGTAGATACTTGTATATATGTGTATGCATTTGTAGTTAAGTTATATTACTAAGCTTACAACTCCTGCCAATTATTATTATAAACAAGATCTAGAAGGTTCAAGATTTCGGGACGAAATCAGTTGAAGTAGAAGGGAGTTGTCATGGTATCATTTTGATCAGATTTTATTATTTTTGTGAAATTCTTAATTTCAGTAAAATTAGAAAAGTTCTAAGTTTAAAGCAAATTATTTTTAGTCCAATATTTTATTGCAATTTTGGACAGACATTTTAATAGCTTTAGTTTGGTTTTCACACAAACATATTTCCTTTTAGTAAGCCTTATTTGTTGTATATATCTTACGTAAGAAGTTATCGGACAATGGTCAGAATGTGTTGACAGATATGATTTTTAAAGTGAAGCCGACATGTAATAAGATGTATTTCGGATTATTTCTATTGTTAATGTCCGGCTCAAATACGGTATAGAGTAAACATTGATAGCAAGATTACATAAGTAATTAAGATATTTTTTAGTCATACACGTCACCTATGACCCCACCTATTTTCTGTCAATTAGACTAAAGTTGTCATGGTTTTTGATTAAATGTTAATTTTGATTGGACAACCTGAAACAGTCCCCAAATTCGATTCTAAAAAGTTAATTCCAAAAAGCGTCACTTTTACATGCGCTCTTTGGAAATAAAGACATAAAACTATTTCAAGTTTTATTGAATATTGTTTCAGGTAAGCAAAGTTAATTTAATTTTGTTAAATATGATTTAAAGCATTCAGTTTAAAGGTTTTCATTACCTAAAAGTAACTTCTGATAAAGTTATTAATTTGCTAATGCGTTATTCTTTTTGAAGAGAAATAGAATTTAATTTTCCTTTTTGTAAAATCTTCATGTTTAGCATTTTCATAGTTATTTTATTTAATAAGAGTTTTCATCTTTTATTATCTTATAAAGAAGTTAATTATAAAGATATTTTCTTTATGCTATAATTGTAAATAGTTGTAAATTATGTTTTTTATAAGAAAATACTTTGTTTCTGATCGGAAAATTGGTATACTTATTTTATCTGTTTTTATAGTTATTTATAACATCCGCCTGTTTTGTCTCACTGACAAGAAATAATAATTCACCTTAAAGTTACTATTGCATTGAAGTTATAATGTTTCCAATGGTAAGGTCTTATTATTCAAAAGCCTTTTTAGGCATGATTTCTTGATGTGCAATTTATTTGACATGTTATTGTCAGCAAACACATGGTTTGTTATTTTTCTATAAATAACACGTTATTTAGTAAACTTATTTTTAGCAAGTATACATGTAAGGCATATATTCCATAGCTAGTTCCCCTCAACAAAGTATTATATATTTTTCATTGCATAACATGATTTCATGATAGAAAGTTTCTATTCTACAATTGTTCCCCCCTTTTTATTGTGTAAAGAGTTATCCCCCTTAACAGATTAAACAAGAGTTATCCCCCCTTAACAGAGAAATGGTTAGATAAGTAACCTCATTGTTTGAATTGGAGTTTCATAAGAAAGATGTTTATATTATTCCTTTATTTAATTCTCAGTATTTAGAATAAAGTTTATCCAAATACCTTAAAATGCTCTACCATGTTTATATTTGAATGTTTAGAATATTTATGCAAAAGACATGAGATGTTGCTCATACATTGAGTATTGCGATACGCATTATGTTCATGTTTCAGAATATTTATGAAATATTTAATTATGATAGGTCTATTGCATTATCTATTGGCAT